TCTGAATCCAGCTCAGGACACAAGGCTAATACACTCGATGTGGAACCTTGCTGGTTCAGAGGGGTCATTGTGGGAGGAATTCTGCCCCTACTAAGCTTAAGAACCCCCCAGCAAATTTTCTGTTTCGCATTTTCCATTCTCCAGTTGAAGTAGGACTGTAGTAAACATCCRGAAGATAAAGCTGAAATCCAGCCAGAGCACCTATTATTTTTACAGCAGTGGAAAAATAATCATAGCAGCCCCGGGGACTCTAGCTGGTTCATCCCCAGTGCTGGAACTATGGTGTTCACCAGCTAAACAGCTGATCCTTCCAGGGAATTTAAAACAAATTAATGTAAGACAAAGAATGTGGAGGAAATTTTCCCAGCCTTTCATAGATAACGGGCAGACACMCCCTTTTCTGGTCTTAGCCCTCTTCCTGCAAAACACTTGAGTTTTYAACAAGTTTGCAAAAGACTCCTGTGCTTTGAAGCTCTCTCAACACAGGAAAAAKGCATTTTCAGACCATGTTTTCACTGCAGGATGCAGCTTATGCACAAAAACAAAGCACCCCTTCATACTGCTACACAGACAGATTCAGGAGGTGATGAATCCTCTTAGATCCATCCACACTGCAAAGGGCTCAGCCAGCYTCTTTCTCAGGCTCTGACACTCAGATCTTCCCAGGAGCTGCTGTATGGCCCAGTGTGCACCTCTGCTACCCTGGCTGTGCCAACAGTATGAGAGGAAAACACATCAGCTTCACGACTTGGCATTAGAAAAACATGACTGAGGATCCAGATCTCAGCTGTGGCAGCAGTTTTTGACTTGAAAACACAGATATACTCATTTGCTATTTTTCTCCCTGCAACAGATTAATTCATGCTCAGAGAAAAGCCACCTCAAGAAGCCACTCAGGATGGTGAGGGGCCAGCAAGGGAACATCCCATGGGTGCTGAGCCTCTCCATCCCATCTGTACACAGGAAAACCAGTCAAAAATCTACCTGCTCAAGACTACATGGGGTAAGAAWGTAAGAAAGAATTTTAAAGCCTGTGCTTTGAGATGCAGGTAACAGGACCCAACTCAAAACAGCAGGCAAGTGCCTTCTCAGAAGTTCAGCATCTCCACAGCCCTTCTGGGCACCACAYCCTTGACCTGCATTTGGCTCTTGCCCTCTTGGCCCCCTGCAGTCGAGCTGTGCAGATAAAGGGGACATAGGCCTTGGTCTACAAGCCCACATGATACATCCTGCAAGAYAGGAGTCCTTCCCAGGGGAGTGAAAGAGGGCAAGCTAAAATCCCCCTATGCCAAGGTGGGGTTTGTCCCTCTGCTTTGGGGGCAGTACCCCAAACTGAGTTTCCTAAGCTAAGCATCCAGAACTGCTCTCCCTACTCTTCACTCATCCTGCTTGTCTCCACTTTGAACCTTTCTCTTGCCACTGCCTGTTGTATCAAATTCTCCACTGGCTTGTTAAAAACTATGAAGGCTGTGGGAAGATGAACTTCTGCAGGCTGACGACTGCCCAGCTGTCCTGCCTACCCCAGAAAGCCAGGTTACCTCTGCTAGGGAAATCAATCAGTCATTTACTCTCATTAAATCCACATGTCCATGTAATGTTATATAAACAAGGACTATTTGCACAACACCATGTAAGAGACTTCTCCAGGCAAGCAAGCTGTCACCAAGAGCTCCAAACAAATCATAGCCAGCTGATGGCTGAATGCAGTAAAGGCTCAGCAGCTCCCAAAGAGTCAAGGAAAGGGAAATAGATTTTGGCCTGAGATGAGCATTTTCTTATCAACAGCAGGATGAGCCCCTAAAGCAACACAGGCTCTGTGCAGATATTATCTCTTATTAGTCCACAATTACAAAGGAGGAAATCTTAGCTACAGATAACAAATGGAAAAACTAAAGCAAAAACAGAAGAAAAGGAAATTAAGTGATATTTTCAAGACCACATACTTTGGCCAGAGGTTTAGACCTCAGCAGCATGACCCASTGCACAGAGAACAAGATCAGATTTGCTGGGACAGAACATCAGCCCAGGCTGTGCCTTAGCCAGCACTGCACACTGCAGCTCTTCACATGCCCACTGCTGCTGTGGAGCCCATGGGCCAGCTCTGGCAGAGCCCAGCAGAGYCCCCAGCTGCCAGACTCAAGTGCACAGTGGGTTTCTGAACTGCTTGCTGCCCACTTCCACACCGAGGAGGGAGGGCAGCAGATGAGAATCACGGCAGCAATGGAGCAGTTGAGAAGTAGGAAGATGGTGAAGACACAGTTCCTGCAACTCTTCTCTCCAAGGACATTCCCACCCTACTGTAACTCCAGCGGCTTCAACAAWCCTGGAGCAGTATGGAGCTGATTGCAGAGCTGAGCCACAACACTTGCAGTTTATCTAACTACGGATGTCACWGAGGAGCAGCTCAGCACCAGCCTATCACCTGTTAAATAGCCTCAACACAACACCTCATATTCTGTGCAAGAGATGTGCACCTGTAGTCTCAAGCACTCAGATGGAAGATTAGACTGGGTAGGAGACAAAGCATTATCCATTAATGCTCAAAGCTGAAAGTTGCCTCAGAAACTGTGCTCCAAGTCAAAGCCCTATGACCTTAYTTTATGTACAGCCAGGCTGCTGCTTTACACCAGATTTTCATTGCAAAATCTGCCCTTAGGGGAGATTGTGCAAGATTTAATTGGAACAGCAGGAAAAACCCTGAAGTGTTTTCTTGAAAGGCTGTGGTGTTTTGAGTTCTGACTGCATGAAGCTTCGGGGGCCCAGAAGAAAACAGCTTCTGTATTCACAAGGCAATTAAGCAGCARCTTTCTCCATGCAGCAAGAAGTGTGGAGGTGGCAAAAAATCACAACTTTTGTCATGAGTGGGCTTYCCCATTTATGTCCCATGCTCTCCAAATAACTTGTGTGCGCTTCCCCAGATGCAGCTACATTTAGGTGCAGTCTGGAGATACTGAACATACTGCTAGAAGCTTTGCCAACTGGTGTAGTTTGCCAAGTGGTGTGCCCTGTGCTTAGGGCAGAACCTCCAATTTCAGCCCATGAAATTATGCATTGCTTCGGGATCCCCTGAAACATCGCTGGAAACATCAAAGGTGATGATGTAAAAGGGTTAAGTAATGGTGTGTAGAAAGTAACTACATTGTAAGAACAGCACGAAAGAGCAGTGGGGACTGCTGAGCGATGTACTCTGCCTAAACCACCTTGCCTGGCAGACAAACACAACAGAGGTGCTTCAAACACAGCTGCATCTCACCATGTACAGCCTCCCTGAGGTGTGAGCAGGGATGTCCCTGCTCCCAGCACAGTAAGATTCAATGGAAAAAGGACAAGCAAAGAGTTCTGAGTGACTCAGCCCTCATTTGTCTGTGAAAGGACCCTAGTGCCAGGTGAGGGTCCTCAAGTGAGGTCTTTGCAAGACCCACAGTGTTGTCTTGTCTTCCCCATGCTAATAGGCCTATCCTGGGATGAGCTGACATTCCGGTTTTGCAGCCTGGTGCATCCCTCAGTCCTGAGTCCAGCATGTTTGTATATTTTTGTGTTCAGGGATAGGAGCACTGTAACTCCCACCTATGAACTAGAAACCCCACCCGCAGATTACGCATTCTCTACCTCCACTTTTCCTTTTTCTTAGAGTTTGGCCTTTAAAAAAAAAACAAAAAAAAACCCAGGAAAATCAAAATACATTTGGGACAGAAGATGAATGCAGGGTTCTGCAGCTTCGGCATGCTCTCTCCTGGATATTATTTCTGCATTGGATTTGCTGAACTTGGCAAGAAAATGGAAGAAAGAGCAATCCTAGAGTTGCTGGGCCACAAATGTAGAAGAATCCTGCCTGAGCCGCCTTGRGCCATTATATGTAACGTGCAACACGTTCCTCCTCCCGGGTCAGATCCATGTCCCCGCTCACCAAGGGTAAGCAGAGGAACACGGATCTTATCTACAAAACAGAGACAGGGCTGAAAACAGCTCTCCCTCAGCAAAGCAGTCTGAGCCAGGTGTGCACGGTATGTAAAAGCAGCAGCAGAGCACCAGCTAAAGCAAACTACTTGCTTGGACACGGGGCGACTGTCAAAAAGCCAATACCTAGAATTGCACACCAAGCACAGACTCCATTTTCCCTCTCCCCGTCCCTTGGGATTTACTTTTTTCTTGCAGCAGCCCAAAAAAATCCCAGAGCCCTTCTCAAAACCAGGGACTATGCGGGAGGCATCGTTCCCCATGCAGGGAGAGACATCCTCTCTGCACATGTCCCGGGCCGCAGCTGAGAAAACACATGCGACTCCGCTCAGGACCAGCCCAAGCAGGGAGAGACGTCGAACCGCTTCATTGCGAGGCTGCTCCCTGCCATCGCCCTCGGAACAGCTCCCTGGGCCCCTGCCCGTTAGAACAAAGCCTCTGAGGACTAGAACCAGCTCAGTCTCCAACCCCGGAGGTGGTGCAGGGCAGAGTCGCCCTGCAGCAAATCGGAGGCTCCAGGCGTGGGAAGGGCATAAAGGGGATGCCCACAGCGCTGACCGCGAGCGGTGTCGCCGCAGAAGTTAGAGAGGTGATTCCGAGGGGTCCGGGGATCGGGCTGGAAGTGCTCCGTGTCCCGAGTGTACAGCCTGCCCGCTCCGGAGCCTCCCGGCGGGACACGGGACACGGGACACGGGACACGGGACACGGGACGCGGCGCAGGGCAGCCCGGGTGCTCCGGCTCAGCCCGAGCGGCAACTCACCGGCTGCGCTTCGGCTGCGTCGGGCCCGGCTCCTGCGGTGCCTCTCACCCCGCGGCTCGGCACTGCCCTCGCTTCCCCCGCGGGAGCCCGCACGGCTCGGCTCGGCTCGGCTCGGCCCGGCCCCTCCCGCCCTGGCGCTATTATGGGTGCGCCACCATCCGTGCCCGCCCTGATCCCTCCGTTCCCTGGCATCACCTCCTTAGGCCACCCCCCACCCCGCGGGACTCCGCTGCCGCTGACTCTGCCGGACAAATGACCACATCCCCGGTCCCGGGCACACACCGACGGCTGCTCGGAGCAGAGGCCGCTTCAGCTCCAATTCCACCACGCACAAGCCCCTCCCGAGGCAACAGCGAGCAGACCCCGGACTGTTCAACAGCAACAGCTCCGACCACTRACACAGACACTCACACTGTTGAAAATACACCAGTTTATTTTTTTTTTTTTAATATATATAACTTCAGTCAGATTTTGTTCGCCTTTGCCCCGGGGGAAGGGTRCTGAAGTTTCTTTCCAGGGCATTGTTCCACCGTGTGGGGCCTCATGAGCTTCACATCTCAACGGAGAGGAAGTAGCACAAAAGATAAGGGTCATCGCCGGCCATCAATGATCATCAATGGAACATTAACCCCAAACCTCCTCCCTGGTATGGTTGAAGGCACCTGATCTGGGAAAAGAGAGATAAGAAGGGGGACCTAATTAGCATCGGAGGCGAGGAAAGGTGCATCCAATAGGAAACCAAATGCTAAGAACTATGCAACATTGGACCAACTAACATTAAACCAACAGAGTTCTACGGGTTTTGACAGTATAAGGTTTGGAGACAATCTTGTAAAATGCGTGTGTCACKGAATGATTTTCTCTACACACCTGGGCTATGTGTGAATGAAATTATTTCTGTTGCACATCGTGGCCAGAACTACATCCTGGTCAGAAAATAAAAAATGATGACTTGACTCTCTAACATTAAAAATGTTTTTGGAGATTTTTTGTTTTTCCTGCAGTTTTGGTGACAGTGGGAACAAGCAAATTTGCACATATGACATGAGTAGGTCATCCTCAGACTGGCACCATAAGGCTGTGCTCTGGGTACCCACAGCACTATGGCTTTATTTCCTTTAGGGGAAACAGAAAGACATTAACTGGGACTAAAAACAGCTCCATTCACAAGTCAGATGAGTGTCCTGGTTATACTCCATCCGATTTTTGGTGGTGGGGGCATGGGACCAAGAAACCACAAAGATGGCTCCTTTGACCAAGTTCTAGAAGCTTTCTCTTTCTTCTCCAGCAAAAGGAGCCTTGTCACCTGTGTTTTAGGGCCAATCTGTTATGGCTCTGAGGTTGATGGACAGGCTGCTCATCAGGCCTGGGCCAATTGCACAGGCTAGTTACAACACTGTGGTGACATATAGTCTTGTACTTAAGAATTCAAAACAAGATAGTTTGCAGCTGCCATTTAGTTTTTTAGGTTGTTAGTATCATGCACCAGGGAAAAAAAGAGCAGGAGGGTGAGGAGATGTAAGAAAAAAAAAAATTGAGACCCAAGATCACAGTAAGAAGAAGATAGGTACTGTTGCTGTGGTGCTCGAACATGGAGAAAACAAGCTGTTCTCTAAAGGACTATTTCTTCAATGGGAGACCTGTACAGAAAAGAGAGCGACCTTGCTCTGAGAAAAACCTGGCCKTTGAGGATTTGATAAGCCAAAAAGGGGGAAGAGGCTTGCCCTCCCCCCCGCACGTCTGAAGCGAGTTGACACAACGAAGAAATTGTGTTCTGCGGGGGAAGAGGTGCCCCCGCCCTACGTCTGAAGCAAGTGGATGCTTAGAAGAAGCTGTGTTCTGCCAGGAGATTTGAGAGAGTGGCCTTGGAGGACTGTTTTCCTTTCTCCCACGAGATAACGAAAAAGAATGCTGTTAGGAAAATTAATCCACTAACACCAGAGGTTTATGTCCAAAAAGGAGACAGAGGAATCCCACAACTCTGCAGGAGAGGTCATGGGCATTTCCCTTGGGGTCTCTCAAATTCATAGAGGACGCAGCCTCTTTTTATCCTAATTTCCCGGCTGCAGTTCCCTCTCTCTTTCCCCACTGGCTGAAGTACTTGAGAGGTACAGACTCCCCGAAACGCCTGATGAAACCCCCTCTTCTATCATACATTGCCCCCTTGCAATATACATCTCTGTGTCTCTGTTCTTGTAGTCTATTAACATAGTCTGGGATAAGTCAATCAAAGGAATTCTTATGGAAATCCTTCCCATTGTTTCCTTCAATCTCCCAGTATCAGCCTTATCTTACCCCCAGAGTCAGTCTGTTTGTAAGGACAATACCTTCTTATTCCTTTCAGCTATAATATGAAAAATGTCCTTTATGGAAATGTTTAAGTCATGAGCTATAACACTTCCTTTTAACCACAAGTATTCTCCAATTATATCTGAGCTACAACAGAAAAACATCAGTGATTATTTCACCACTGTGTCTGCATAACTAAGCTSCTTATSCAAAAAAGCCAACATTGTATACATAGCACACATCTTAATATCTGYGAAAGCCAACACTATAATATGTGTTTATAGTAACATACAATTCGAATYCTTTTTTCCTGTCTGGAAGGGCTAGGGCAGGACCCTCAGTTAATCTGCTTGCTTTCTTCAAAATTCTGCTTGCCTTCTTGTGTCCATCCATCCAGTTTTTTAACTGGCAGSACAGGAGTGTTAAAGGGAGCCATCCATGGCTCCAAAAGACCTGCCTTTAACAGGGACTCAGTAACAGGCTGTAACCTCTTCCTCCCTCCGTTGAAAAGAGGGTATTGCTYTCAAGACACCACTTGTCCTGGTTACTTCAAAGTAATTTGGAGAGGCTCCATATTCATTTTTTCATATTCCCCTGGGGCTGCCCACCCCTCCAGGTTTTCTGCTGGAGAGGCCTTCTCAGTAATTTGACACAAAGTTACAATAGTGTTAGCTTCTGTATCACTTTTTACAGTAGTAATTTGCATTCCCAATACCCCCAGCAAATCCCTTCCCAGTAAATTACACTCACCGTAAGGAAAAAACAGAAATTCAGGCGTTTCAAACCTCTCCCTCACCTCTACTAATAGTGGTTGAATAAAATGCACTCATCTTTTCCACTTACCCCCTAAATAATTAAAGAACTTTACAATACTTCCCTTAGGTATAAAATTCAAAGGGGATTAAGAGGCCRCTGTGTCTATCAGAAAATGCCTCCTCTCACTCCAGATCCACCCTAAATGTCATCAAGGGCTCCAGAGTGGTAGGTCTCTGCTATAATGGGAACCCCTGACATCCCTGACAGTCCATCTCCATTATCCRCTGCACTTCCTTCTCCTGGGGATCCAGCCATTCCTGCAGACATTCCCRCTTCCAGTGTCCCTCTGCTCTGCAGATACCACATTGATTCTTTCCTAACTGGTGTTTTGGTTGGCTCTMCCCTGCTGAGGAGYGAATGCCCCTGTCAYRTCCTTGCAGCTKATTCCRKGCCCTCTATTCCAAGGGACCCCTTGGACCCTGTAATTCATCCCTCAGGGGCTCTAAAAATCTGSCATCATCTTTGCCTTCACCTTCACCTTTTTCTCATCTCTTCTTACATACACTTGCTTTGTCTTTCTAACCAGCTTGTCTACGGATTTATGAATACTGTCATTCTTCATCCTTCTGTATTCTTTTCATCATAATAGGCCAAGATTTAGTAACAAATTGTAATTTTAACAATATGTCAAAGGCTGGTCCCTCAGGATCCAGTCCCCCTTGCTTCTGCAAGGCATCTCTAACTCTCTCTAGCCAGTGAGGAGGACCTTCATTCTTTTGTTGTTCTGAGGACATGGCTTTAGCTTGATAMATGTGGTTTATGTCAAAGTGACAAGATGCTTATGAGGCCTATTAAYTGAAAACTTTCTATAGCCTTTTTATATGTTATCAATATAAGAATGTAATATCATTTTACATATTATTAAAATACAATGTAATCACTTTCAATATAGTATCAATGATAGCCTTTTACATATTGCTATACGTTTTTTTAAATAGTATATTAGCAACATATAGTGGACCAGCTGGATGTAATCTAACCAGCTGGATTAGTCCATAGATACCTGAAATCACCAAAGGGCATAAATCAGAAAAAGTTCTGAAGAAAGTAGACAGGTAGATGCTATAAACAAGGAACAGTAGAGAGCACTAAAGAGAACTTGGCAGAAGCACGGGACAGTCAGCAAAATAAGTGAAAATGAAGACTTGGAGGACTAGAAAAAACCATGAACATCACAACTGTGCATGCCTGAAGACAAAGGCAAAAAGTCCACCATGATGAAGATGATGGTCTCTCATTCGGAGACCCCCACAACCACTGAACTGAGGATGACACATGTGCACTTGCAGAACTGTGATATCATGTATTTCCGTGCCCATGTATAGTGATGGGTGTATGGTGGGCGTATGGGGGGCAGTGACAATGTTCATGTTACACCATGCTTGCTGTATAAATATGTGCCAATTCTAAGCGAAGGCAGGTGGGTTAGGAGGAGAAATCCCTCTCACCTCCAGCGCTACACCAGCACTGTAATAAACAAATACCTGTTCTATAGACACTGGTCTACAGGGTTTTATTTCTAGGCCTTTTTTGGGCAGCAAACTCATGGTTAGTTCTGGGAACTGCTGTTTTGATTTCTCTAATTAAATAGGTATCGTAATCTCGAAAGTGATCTGGAGCCTGGCCTCATGATTTGGGTCCATCTGAGGATCCACCTGGGGAATTGTATCATCCACAGAAGATGCATTGTATACACTCCCCCCCCGCCCACCACCGCTGCCTGTGTGTGCTCATCCTCCCAACAGCTGCCAAGCTTTTGGCAAAATAATAAGTTTCTCTGACAACCCAAACAAAATTCTTAAAAGAAAATCCTGATTCTTTCACATACAATCTGCATTTCCCAGATATTCCTTCCTCCTCCTCCTCCTTGTGCTCACCCTCCTCATCATACACCGCCTGCCAGAGCCGGTCACTGTCCTGCCAGTGTCCAAACGCGTCCCCAAGCCAGCAGACAYGGCCGGCAGCACTACAAGGCAGCCAGGACATCCTGCAGCCTCATAGGGGCCGAGGGCACAGCAGGTTCAGGCACAGCCCAGTGCTGAGCCCCTGCTGCCCCACAGCCCCAGCTCAGCCCCGCACCTCCCCACAAGACCCTAGTGCATCCTCCCAGTGCCGCACCTCCGGGCCGGGTCCTGCCACTTGCCGTAGACAAACACCTCTAAATCCTGACTTCCTTGTTTTCCCTGTCCTGGAAGCCGGGAACACAA